TTAATTTTTAAATTTAAATTTAAATTTAAACTTTAATATTTAATTATTTAATTAATGCCATTGTATGTGGAACTCAAATGTCTAAGGTACGTTATAAAATTCTGCTACTGTGTAATATGGTCTTTCTAGAAGAAAAGCTTTAGCCAGTCTTCGGAACTTATCGTATGTATTTATAGATTTTAATTGCATCGGAAGGTTATTATACAATTTTTTGGCATTGTATGAGAATTTAATTATGTGCAGATTTAGACCGCATAAGGAAAATACGCTTTGATTGAGCGAATGAAAAATGCCATGATCCTGTAGGCTTTAAAACAGTATCAGCTTCTTTACGCCAATCGTAAAACTCAAAATCTGCATCAGCCACAAACAACGTCTCATGGGTTTTTATTATATTATAATATTCATTTGGATTTGCAATCACTTCCAACTTTTTAAACTGCTTTTCTAAAATACCAAAGACTCTATCTGGAGGAATAAACGTATGTCCACGCACAGGATGTTTGGATATTGTTTGGCGCTTCTGAAAACCATCTGCAACACATGGCCAAAACAATTTTGTTTTTGTTTTGGCCTCCACAACCGTCTGCAGCCAACCTTATTTTCGTATAAGAAGATAAGTCCGTATTTTACAATCGGTGAAATATGGCAGATGTCGCTTAATTGGACCCTTTCCCATATACATCTTCAGTCCAACAGTAGCTAAAAGTTTGACAGCATATTTACGTGACACCCTGTATAAATTCGAAACGGACATCCGGTATTATAATATTTTGATTGAAATATCGTGGTTAATATTTTTCATCCATATTGTCTATCATGCGTCATGATACAATAATTACTGAACAATCCTCTTAACTTTTTATAGGCGAATTTTTATATTTAAACATTTATGGCGACCGACCACACATGTTAAATCATTTTTAGACATTTAAAAGCTTACTTTTTACTGATAATATTTTTTGACGCATTATTAGTTAAAAAAACGAAATGTAAGCGACATCTGTCTGGTATAGAATTTGAAACTATCAAATTCGGTATTATATCCATGATAAAAATCTGACCTACATAATTATTTAACTATTTAATTTAATTTTCATTGAATGAAGAGTCTGTAATTTTGATAAAATCTATAACTATAAATATAATACCGTCGTCTGATTCATTATAATAATAAATTATTATTATTATTATTATCGTTGAATACGAATTAATAACCTAGAACAACAGTTCAAAAGGCATCTAAACAAATGACTAATTATTCTATAATTTATTAATTGTTTTTCCAACAGCGCATTTGATACAGAAATTATTTATGAAAGCAAAAATAGATAAACGGGTAGTTATCAATAAAGAGGTGAATAAGTATTTTGAAGGTACCTACCACATTTTGCCGTGAGCACTCTTTTTACATCGGGTTTATTAGTCATGAAAGTTTGACACATTTTTATGTGTATATTAATTAAGACTTTTCTGAACTCACCCCATAAAATGTGATGTTTTGCGCATGTAATTGTCGACTATGGACCGGGAAACAATGCTTCCTGGTCTAGTTGCTTCATTTAAAAAAATTATAGAAGGTGCAAAAACTCTACAGGGTGCTGTAACTTGCAGCCTTTTCCCATGTCCCGAAATTTTGTTTCGTAAAATTTAGACTCATAATTTCCAACGAAATAACAAAATGATCTCAAAAACTTCTCACCTCTTGTGTTATTACTGAAAAATTGCTCATAACCTTACTTTAATTAGAACGCTTTAGAAATGCAGATAATCTTCTCCCTCTTCTAAAATAATTGTATTTTCTAGGTAATGCCCGATATCATGGATATAATATAGTTATTATTTATTATTAGATGTAGTTGTTTTTAAGATTGATTTCGTGATTTATGTACCTTTCCTTGCATACCAAAATATATTAAACCTTTCTACTAAGAAGCGGAGTTTTGTTCATCTAATCTATCAGGTTATGGGCCAGATACGATTCTAACGCGTAAAAATTTAAAATTTTGATGCAATTTTTTTGATTCTTCAAAATATTTCAAAAGATTGGTTTGAGAGGCACAATTGACAAATTACATGGTGAAAGTAACTCAACATTGTGTAAGTTCGATGAAAATGCGACTCCTGAAGTAAAGGATGTTTATCAGAAAAACGTTTCCATTTTTAAAGAAGCCGATGCACTAGTATGTTACATTATTGGTTCAAACGTTTCTTCTACTGGAAAAACATATTCTTGCTTTAGAGGAAGTATTCTTTGGTCTTACCATTAAGGACACTAGGAGAGCAGCATTTCAATTCGCAGAAAAAAAAAATTATAAAACATAATTTTAGTAAAAGAATGGGTATGGCTGGGAAGAAGTGGTACTACAATTTTATAAAACGCCACCTAAACCTTTCATTAAGGCAACCAGAATCAACATCATTAGGACGTTGCAGAGGATTTAACAAAAAAAAATGTTACAGATTTCTTTAATAAACTTGAAAAAAATCATCGATGATAATAAATTAGATGCCACAAAAATATATAATGTAGACGAGTCAGGATTCTCGACAGTCCAAAAAAATAATCAAAAAATTTTAGTCAAAAAGAGCAAACATCAAGTTAGTACTATTGCCAGCAGAGAAAGAGGTGTCAACACTACGATGGTTGTTTGCGCAAGTGCCTCAGGTCAATTTGTCGCACCAATGAATATATTTAAGAGAAAACGAATGTCAGCAGAACTGACCATTGGAGCACCACCTGGCTGTTTGGTGGAGATATCAGACACAGGCTACATTAACTCTGAGCTATTTGTTACTTGGTTAAAAAAAATTATTAAAGTGGTTAAGCCTAGTAAGGAAAATAAAGCTCTTTTGGTATTGGATGGTCACACTACCCATTCTAAAAATTATGATGCTATAGTTTTGGCCCGTGACAATGGTCTAATTATTTTACAATTACCAGGCCACACGACCCATCGGCTTCAACCCCTAGATGTTTCGGTTTTCAAGCCTTTAGAAACATACTATAACCAAGCCATTGAAAAGTGGTTAAGGCAGCATGCTGGAATGGGAGTTACGCAATTTCATGTTGCTTCTCTTCTTAATGAAGCTTATGACAAAGCTGCTGCTATAGCAAATGATCCGAACGGTTTTTGCAAATGTGGGATATGGCCTGTAAATAGAGATGCTTTTTCTGATGCTGATTTTGCTCCTTCAGAACTATTGACTGAAAGAAAATATTTCAATTGAGACGATGCCAATCCAAATTTTGGAAGAAAATTCCAATATTAGAGAGCCACCACAAATTCAAGTTTTGCTAGATGTTCACAGAGCATCTGACGACGTTAACACTGAAAAAACGATACACAGGCATCCAAAAATTTAAATGTGTCAATTGAAGATATTCTTTCTTTACCTGATGTTAGTGAAGCTAAAGAACAGAAAATGGGTAAGAGCGCACAGACGGCTGAAATTATTACATCCACTCCCTATATATAACAACTGGAAGTAAAACAAAATGCCGTAGAAGAGAAGAAGAAAAGAACTGTTAAACGAAATTTTGAGGTTGAGATGTCACAGAAACCAGCAAGAGAAAAATCAATTTCGAAAGGAAAAAAGGGGCCAAAAAAAGAAAATTCTCAAATACTTACAACAACCATCATCATCAACAAATGAAGATATTTTAGTATCCGTAAATTATGGCAAAAGGGAATGGTATTGCAAGATTTGTAAGGAATGCTTAATAAAACATATGATTCAATGCATAAGCTGTAAAGAGTGAGTACATGAATCATGTGCAGATGCTTCAAACAATTACGTATGTAATATTGTAGCATTATTTTATACCAAAGAAGGTTGTTTAATTTTTTTTTTTATTTAAGAGAATTTATATTTGTTTTAAGTTTTAAGTTTTCTTATTGTTCAAATCTTGTTTTTTTTTTACTAACTAATAAACTATTAAAACTAGTGATTGATTATTTCAATCCACAATAAAATATTATGTATGTAATAAAGGATAGTACAATTTAGGAAACCATCTGGTACAAATTAGGCGCAACCGGTTGCCTTAATTGTACCACTTGTAAAGGTTTTAAAAAAAGTTAAATTTAAACCGAAAAACATTATTCTAAAATTTTGAAAAAATATATAATGTTTTCAACCACGAATTTATTCAGGGTTAGTACTAGAATGTCAGGAAGCTTTGGCCGAAGTATCCATCAACAACGTGGTCATATTAAGATGGATTAAAGGTCACGCCACATCGAAAGGTAACCGTCTTGCTGATTCACTAGCCAAGAAGGTAACAACCAAATACTTTTTGGACCTGGCCCTTCTATTGGCCTTACAAAATCGGCAATGACAGACCTAATCAAATAACATTCCCTTGTGAAATTCAAGGAAAGATGGGATGAAACAAGAAACTGCAGAGTTACGAGGAAGCTCTTAAGTTATCCTGACAACACTGCAGCAAACAAATACTTGACTATGACTAGACAGAATCTGCGCCAAGTACGAAAGCATCTCCATATCATGGATCTCTCAGAATCCGCACTCTGCAGAGGGTACGAACAAGAAGATGGGACCATCGAGCATATCCGTTACGATTGCACGACGCTCTCATTTATTAGATTTGTGTTCGGCGAGTATCGGCTAACACCGGCCGATATAAGAGAAGCACCTCTTGGCGACGTTGTCAATTACATTAAATCTGTAGGCTGGCTCACGAGCTAGGAGGTGTCTATCTTCTCAGGAGGATGCACAATGGGCCTAATGAGGCCTAAGTGCCGTGGCGTAACCCACCCTCTCCACGTTACAGATACAGATAATGTTTTCAAAACGGTAATGAAAATTATGGAGCAATTTAAACTATCATTTTCTAAAATTTGTAATTGCTATAACAAAAAACGTCAGAACAGGTTCAAATTTGGCAATGTTACCCTATATGCCCAAATTCAGGTTTCTTCATGTAAGATTTTTGTATCTTTGAAAGTAAAAATATAAAAAAAAATTACAATATTTTAAAAAATCGGATTTATTTATATTTTATTAAATTACAGCCTAATCTTAACCTACAACTTCGATAAAAAAACAGAATATAATAAAAAATCAACAATAATTGTTCATTTTTTCAATCTCAAAAATACTCGTTAAAAAGCAGTCTGTTTTCATATATTTCCTACCACTTTTCTATCACTCTTCCACGTCTTTCGTTGCCTTTTCAAGATCGTCATCGACATTCGGTTCGATTTGCAATTTTTCTATGTTGTCGTCGAACGCCACTGACTTCTTCCTGTCTCTGTTCGGTTCCTCAGATTCCGTATACGATTCTCGGGGTTCGTTTTCTTCAGTCTCACTGTGTTTAAAAATGAACCCTGTGGGACGTCTTTGCTCAATCGCCGAAGAATGCTTCAACCTACATAACGAAAATTTAAATTAATTTAAAAATCTAAAAAGTATAATAGTATGTTGGACAACAAATAGCACTCACACTCGTTGGTGCAACAAGTTTCATATAAAGCGTGGAATAGGTTTACTGCACAAGTAGCATACTATATTTTTTCTATGACCACAATAACTACAATACAAATCACACACTTTTTTATAATTTGTTAAACTTTATAAAGGTATTTTGTTTTAATTTCAATTTAAACCAACATTACTTATAAATATTGATAGGTACTAAATCATGGTAAACCTTTGATGGTTTTTCATATGGTGTCCAATTTGAAGAAATTAAATGTCAAAATTTAAAGCAAGAAACTTGATTACACAGTTATATATCATATAACGTAAATAGTTTTTCTAAAATACCTATTTTTTTATTATCGGAAAAAATTTTTCACGTTTACATTTAATGAAATGTGTTTTTAGGATATAAGATGGTGATTCTTTATTAGTTCCAAAATCTGATTCAATTTTTATAACGACTTTCCTTTTTTTAAATTGAATAAAATTTTTGGAAAAAAGGTTCCAGAGGAACACAGATTCAACTTTTACCCACACGTCATACAGTCTGTTCGCTATACTTACGCGGGTTTCGAATTAAAAATTTTATGAGTATTTCCAGGTAAGTACCCGAAAGTTTGACCTGTTCTTTGGGGAAATATCAACTGCTTAAATGAAATGAAAAATATTGTACAACTTTTTAATTAAATAATAATGGAGAATCTTTTGTATAATTGAGAGCAGAATTAAACTTCTTCATTAATGGAGTCTAATGTGGCTATTATAAACCTCATAATAATTTTATTTTACACTTCACACAGAAAATATGGTCTATGTATAATAAGAAGGTTATTTAGCTCAAATAAAATATTTTCTAACTTAAAAATTTGTTCCATGTAGAGAATTTAAAATCAAAAATAAAAAAATTGAATTTGCCAACAATAATGAAAATCAGTCATTATCATCCAAAATATCATAATCGTCGTCATCATCATCACTGTCATCACCATTAATTGTTATTAAGATTGGACTTATTTCGTTTATTTTATTTTCACGAGTCCACCAATCTTCTATTAGTTTCTCGCACTTGGATATACAGTTCTGCCATACTTCTGGAGTTGCAATTGAAAGTCTTTTCGCCAAGTTTCCCGAACTGCGTCGTCTCTATAACCATTAGGCCCAATATGGTTGTCATAATATTGTTCTGCTATTCCCCATATATATTCGATGGGATTAAACTGGCAATGATACGGTGGCAGTCGTAAAACTTGATGACCATAACTTTCAATAATCTGATCCACAACAAAGGTTTTTGGTTTTGCGTGTATATTTGCCAAGCGTTATAATTCTGATTTTAATATATATTGAGGAAATGGTATATGTTCCTTTGTCAACCATTCTTTAATTTTATCAACAGTCCAAGAATTCGTTGGACTTTTGTTCAATACTTCAGAATAGTAAGGTGTATTGTCTAAAATAATTACGCTGGGTTCACTTAAACCTGGGAGAAGTTTTTCATGCAACCATTTTACAAACATTTCTGTGTTCATATTATCGTGATAGTCACTGGATTTTGATTTAGATGAAAAAAAAAAATATATCGCGACGAATTGATAACCTCCTCCTTTTTTAAAGTCGGTTAAATATATTAAATCAGCACTTTATATAAAGCCCGATTTCCCTCCTGCATGTAAAATTATGTGTCGCTTCCCTTCTCCATCGGTATGTTTGATGGACTTGGTTGCACCCCTAGAAAATATCCATGTTTCGTCTAAATATATAAAATTCGTCCCTTCTTCTTTAAATTTAGAAAATTTTCTTAGAAAGTTAATTCTCTTGTGCAGGACAGAATTTCTTTCACAAAGGGCCTTTCTGTTATCCTCCTTATGGAATTTGAAACCCAAGTTATGTATCACTTGTCATAGACTTGTTCTGCCAATGTCGTCAAAGGACAACGCACTTTTCTTATGCAAACGGGAGTACCGTCAAAATGTCTGAATTTTTGATATGTTAAATTACTTGATGTCCCCATCAAAAGTGTCAATGGGCCCAATCGTATCCTATGACTAGATTTTGAGATACCGGGTGTTGAAGTTAGAAATCCCTAGTTCTTTAAAATGGACACCATAAATCACCCTTAAATATTTTTGGAAGTTATTCGCTTTTTCTGTGTAGACAAAATATATTCTTAACTACTTTAATTAAAATATTGTCCCTTACAGGGTGATTAATGATTCGGCAGATCTTTTTTGGTCAAAGTAGGTAATTCCACCGATCAAAAATAGCTGAAATACCGAAAAACAAAATATCACCGTCAAAGTCTCTCAATATTTGATATCGTATAGTACTCGATGTACTCGTTCAAAATTCTTATTGGTAAAATTGGATCCTATGACTAGTTTTCCAAATATAACTTAATATGTACCAAATATATGAACAATAAATATACTGACATAAGTGTAGAATTTTCAAGAGAAATATATTAAATATTTTGACACACTGTGTTAGATTAGAAATATACCCCTTGTACTATTTTGAAACAGACAAAAATTTCGTACTTACAGGGTGATCGCGGTTGAATATGTAAGATAAAAAAATCAACAAAATTTTGAAATTAAAAGTATATGAAATTATTGCCAAATATTGGAAAATTAATTGCTTGTGAGTTCTTTATTGAAAAAGATTATAAATAAACATATATTTATATTTTAAATAGGCAATAACAAACTTTCTCAAACTGACATAGTTTTTGGAATAACTAGAAATTAGAAATATTTAATGGATCCTCAGGATAAAGTGGTCAATGAGCAGAAAAATCTGGGATATTATCCACTTCTTAATTGTCTTCTTAATTTCATATTCATTCCAAATCTTCTTCTATGATATCAATTAAAGTTTTTAAAGGCCGCGTATCCACGCATCATGCTGTTAATTTGAGTGATTTTTATCAAATTGCAGGTGCTTTGTTAAATAAGTTTCATCCTCTTATAAATGTACCAGTTACAATGGACATAGCAGTTGAAATTTTAAACAAACTAGATGACGTTAATATTATACAAGCACGCGTTGAAGCCCAAAATCTGACTACCAGAAATGGTCGACGGCGAAGACTGAATCACATGCATATTCCTGAATTTCCTCGAGTAGAAATCAATTTTTTAAAAGACTTGGTAGGTTCTTACCACATTTATTTAAGTCCATCAAATATTCAAGATAAACCGCAAAAAGAGGAAAACAATGTTTTAGAAATAGACGAGTTTAGAAAAGAGAATAATTTTTAACGTTTTAGAATATATTCTAGGTTCAGAAATGCAACTCGAGGTGCGGCCACCTCCTCGTGGTGAGTTCTGGGTTGATTTAACATATAAAACCGATTTTATTATCTTGTATCTATCTACCATAAACCCCTTAAGTTTTAAATCAAGCGAAGAGCTGCACAAAGCTGAATTTTTTTAAGTTTTTAATTTATCACCCCCCTAAGGGCCTAGCTAAATATTTTATTTTTTCACTAATTTTTATATAGAGTATAAACAACATAAGACACAATTTTTTCACACTAGCCACAATTAATTTTTTTTAGTAATTTTTGACCTACTCTATTACACAAGCAGTGCAATAGTCCTATAGGGGTTAACACTTAAAACAAAAAGTTTTAGGGTCTTACCCCATTGGTGACGCGAAAAGCAGATCACAATCTGATACAAATATACAATATAAAGAGGCAATGCTCCAGTCAAAATAAGCATGTAATTCGATCATTATTCATTATCCCAGATCCTAGTTAGACCTGCCGTATAATGAACTTTTTTTGTAATGAAATAATGTATGACCCTATATGTGAACGAATAAGATTTTTTTGATAAACAATTCGCAAGTTCAAAGGCAATTATTTTTTATTTTTTGCCAACTATTTCAACATTTTGTTAATTTTTTCAATTTATATATTCAACTGCAATCACCCTGTAAATACGAAATATTTTTGGCTGCCTCAAATAGTACAAGGGGTATATTTCTAATCCAACACAGTGTGTCAAAATATTTAATATACAGTATTTTTCTCTGAAACATATCTACTTATGTCAGTATATTTATTGTTCACATATTTGGTACATATTAAGTTATATTTGGAAAACTAGTCATAGGATCTAATTTTACCAATAATAATTTCGAACAAATACATCAAGAACTATGCAATATCAAATATTGAGAGACTTTGACGGTGATATTTTGTTTTTCGGTATTTCAGCTATTTTTGATCGGTGGAAATACCTACTTTGACCAAAAAAGATCTGCCGAATTATTTATCAACCTGTAAGGGACAATATTTTAATTATAGTAGTTAAGTATGTATTTTGACTCCACAGAATAAGCAAATAACGTCCAAAAATATTTAAGGGTGATTTATGGCGTCCATTTTAAAGAATTGGGGATTTCTAACAACACTCTGTATCTCAAAATCTAGTCATAGGATACGATTGGGCCCATGGACATTTTTGATAAGGACATCAAGTAATTTAACATATCAAAAATTCAGACATTATGACGGTACTCCCGTTTGCATAAGAAATGTGCGTGATCCTTTTCTATCTTTTAATTCCGAGAGAATTGTATTTAAGGTCACGTGTTCCTTGTTGGCCCTCATTCGATAAATGAGGGGCCTAGTATCAAAACCGGCAATATCCCACTTTCATAGTTTAGAGATATTTACGAATAACTACTGCTGCCTTATTATTTATGCTAGATAGTTGGAGATTATTGAAAACGGTAGTTTACTCGATTCTGAACAATAACTAATAGTTCTGTTACTTAGAACTGACAAGGTTTTTCCAAAATATGATACAAAAATATGGAGATTGCCGGTTTTGTTCCTAGAGGTAGGACATTGCCGGTTTTGATACCGAAATGTATAAATAGACCCGAGAAAAAAGGCAATGAAAGACGAAGTGAGTGCTAAACTAAAACTGTATT